CGAAAAAATCAGTTTTATTTTTTTGATGTAGCTCGAAAGCAAATAAATAACCATAGATACTTGAAATTTTCACCAAATTATACTTAATTTGTATTTTATTTATTTTAATTGTATATTATCACTTTCAATTCACAGTAAAATTTTCAAAATATTTCTACTATTTTTAAGCTACATTTTTCTACATTTTTAATTTTTTTAGTTTACTTTTTTATAAATATTAATTAAAAATTATTTATTGAGTAGAAATGCTTGAAAATGTAATTTAAAGCTCTTCATAAGTTTTTATTTTTCAATTAAAAAATATTGAAAATCTATAGTCACGGTACTTTTTTATAAATGTTTAAACACTTTAAACTTAAAAATTCATGAAAATCGCGAAAATTAATAAATTATTTTTTAGTTTGAAATTCATAGAATGTTTTGTTTTTATACTTAAGATTTAAAAATTGTACACAAGATCCTTTATTAGATGTTTGACCTTTATCTGAAAAAAAAAATTCTAACCGAAAAACCAAATAACTTTTTTATGAGCATTTTAAGTTCAAATGTTTACAACATTCAATATTCACATGCAAAATAATTATTTTTGCTCAAACATTTTTTTGATATTTTATTGTATTTCAAAAAAAAAAAAAATAAATAGTAATAATAATAATAATAATAATAGAAATCTATTATATCTAAAAATCTGGTTTAATTTAATTTAAATAAAAAGTATACCTATTTAACTAATATGATAATATGTATACATAGATGTTATCAGTATTGCGTATGTGCATAGTATATGGTCTATGCATATGTGTGAAACTATTGTGATCGCATTTTTAGTTATGTATTGATGTAGAGACAAAGACGATATATTATCTCTTGCATAAAGTGACGTCATGAAATCTTAATTATACACGTAATAAGTTATAACATATTAGGTATACTACCAAAATATTATGTTCATTACAATAAGTATTAGACAAAATATTATCTGTATAAATTATAAACACATTAAATTCGAAATAAAATTGATTAAATTACAATATTCATAATAGTTTTATACAACATATAGGTAAATAAATAAAGTAGATACGAGATAGATGCTTATATTTACCTAGGATAGGCTATAGATAGTGTCTTCATTGTGTTAAACATTACTACGAATAAAGAAAATATTTCAAAATAAATTGAATAAAATAATATCTTATAGGTATCTGTTATAAGTGATTTCAATTTATGTATTCGTGAATAGGTTACCTACTCTTCAAAACTTGTTTAATTTTACAAAATTGTGTTGAGTGTGATATAAATTAGCTATTATATAATATATTATTAGCGTTATTCATACCAAATATTTAAATATAAATAAATAATAAGTAGTATAACCGCTTATTATTATAAGTTTAAGTAGGTATCACGGAATAATAGTAGGTAACATTATGAATATTTATGGTGATACGCGTTGCATACATGTACACGAACTGCATTTTAGTACTTATAATTTGACTGCAGATAATTAATGTATGTACCAGTACCATTAAACACATGTGTTTAGCTTATAAATGTATGTAGTTAATATTTTTATCTAGTTGGTACACGTGAAAGTGAAACATAGATACTACTTATTGCATGATTTAATACACATTGTAGACCTTGACATTGAAGAACCTCTCCTATGAATAAAAATGTTTTGGCGTGTATATAAAAACCAAATGCATCGTTTGAAAATATTCGTTCAGTCGATTAATTCGTAAGATAAACCGATTGCCGATTGGCAATATTTAATAATATATAATTATTATTATAATATACATAAAGCGGACAGTTTAATAAATCTACTTCAAATATTCAAGTATATAATATATTAATATGTAGGTATATCGTATACTCGTACCTATAGTTATGACTTAATAAATGACTGTTATGAGTATGTCATAATGATCCATGTTTTATGTAGAGTAATCAGCAAAGATATTTATTTATTTTTTTAAGTAACAAGACTGATTCTGACAATAGATAAAAAAAAAATAATTGCATTATTCAAATATTAGGTACAATGTATACCTATTGGCAATTATACCTATACTACCCGTATTCTACCAACTACCAAAACAAAATTTTAAATACCTATATTATCATCAGACTTGAGTTTCGAAGAGGTAACGATCCCGGGTAGCTCTAAGCGACAATATCATAGAGGCTGAAAATATTAACTGGCGATATGTAAATATTTATATTTTTTTGGCTGTGGTCAATATGGGTAAATTAAATATTAGCTATTTTATAAAACTCTTTAAATTTACCACTCACGTCATCATGGTTTTTTTCATTTCAGCAGTTCGGCGCATGCAAAATATTACTAACTACAAAGTGTATGAAATAATTCAACACGTTCGTTACATTGACTTACTCATCGACGAGCACCACAGTTTTATAATTTAAATGTTTTTAAATAACCGTTCGTACCAATTGTACCTTTTTAATTAAATCAAATTATTAATACATTTTATTTAATAATAGTGAATTTCTGCGTAAATACATTCTAACCTAACCTGTTTAAAATCTTGCATTTTAATACAAGTACAAATTACAAAAAAAGAAGAAAAAGAAGAAAATTGTAAATTGGGTTAGAATTTTGATGCAAAAGCATCTTTTTTATGATTTTCGAAACGTTAGTTCATAAGTATAAAATGTGTTTTAGGTGATACCGATTATTTTAAAGTAGTTTTTTTTTGCATCTTTTTGTGTTTTTTTTTTATTAAATCAAGCTTAAATGCATTTATAGGGCATTTTTTGACATTTTTTTCTTAGTTTTCAGAAAATTTTTCTCAATTTGTTCATAAAATGAACGAAAATTGTTGCGATTAACAAGAGTCAAGAGACTTTCGACGAACTGTCAACGCTACAAATAATAAATTATCTAACATGACAAGTTATCGTCGATAGTAAATACTTAATTATAGATAGACTTTTCTACTAATGATTAAGAAAAAACAGAAGATCATTCAATTAAGCAAGTAATAACGTACAATATTATTAAAAATAAAAAATACACTTCAGTTGTATAATTTTTAAATTCTTTTTCCAATTTTTAAACTATAATGAATTCATTTAAATACATTTTTATAGACTTATAGTGTATATTTTTTTCAAAGCATTTTTTGAGATTTTCTAGGGCATTAAAATTCCAGCTCAACTTATTTTAAACAAGTAATAAAGAGATAAAATGAATACAAACAATATATTATTTTATAACTGAAAAAAATGTCACAATTTTAGTAAAATTAATTTTTAGTTTAATTACATCTATTAAAATATCAGTTCAATAATTTGTCAAATAAAATAATTAATTACAATGTCATCTTTTAGTTTATATTTTTCTTCATTTTAAATTTCAAATTAAAAAAGGCATCGTGTTTTCTTCAATTACCTCTGTTGATGAAATTTTATCTGTCGAATTTATGGATAACATAGCTAACCCGTTTAGTCTTTCCTAAATTAAAAATATTATAGATACAGAATACTCCACATTTAAATAACCCAACTGTCTTAGACAGTTGTGTAGACAGTCTGTCTATATCGTTCAATTATCAAAAAAAGTTCTTAATAAAATATTGATTTAACACGTTCAATAGGTACTGCGGCCTTTTTGCTGTGCTGTTACCGTATCGCTGCAACGAATTTCCACCCAGTTGACTATATGTCATCGGTCACTGGCGCTGCACTATGGTTTTAGTGGATTGTGGACAATATTTTTGTAATTTGTTTATTGAAAACTCCGTACACACATACTGGTTAGGAATTTTCTTATAATTTATAAATAATATTTTAATTGAAAACTTCTACGACGTGTTGGTATATAGATACAATTTTTTTTTTGTTCTAGGGGGAGGTTTGAACCCGGGACTCCCCCACTCCCGTAAATACATCACTGTATTTGTATGTTATTAAATGACCATTAACTTAATTATAACTAGCTTAGCTAGTTAGGTTACCCCAAGTCAAGTATAGACATTCAGAATAATATGATAATAATAATTAGTTTAATCAGTAGATATTCAGTTATCAATGTTATAAAACTAAATTATTATTTAAAATATTTAGAATTATTTATTGGATTACATCAGCGATTCCTAAACTTTTTCAGCCACGAAGCCTTTTTTTAAGCAGTTTTTTCTCGCAGAGCCTTTTAGAAATATTTAATAGTAAGTTTTAGTTGCCGACATTCTGTGAACTATATTACATATGATATGAATAAAGAAACAAGAATAATAAGATATTTATTAATAAAGAAACAATAGTACTAATAGAACTGGAGAAAATATTATTTATTATTTAAAATATATGTCTATAAAATGAGAATAAATCTATAATATATATTATATTATATTTAAGTTTATTGAATAATAGTATTTATTAAAAAAACAATGTTACATGTATACATCTTGAAGTGTCTTAATGTGAGCAACGTACTTGCTTTTTGAGACAAAAATTATCTATGTCTGGTGTGTTACAGTCCATAGAAGCCAATTAAAGACGCATATCATCTAATAATTGTTTTATTATTCAATTGTTATGGTAAAACGAACAGAGTCCATGAGAAACAAATGCACAACACAGTTTGGGAATCGCTGAATTAGGTAAATACACCAATGTATCTAAATGTATTAAATAAAACTTTTGGAAAATGAACACATATATAGTATATTGCATAAATATCTTATTTATACATTAAAAATATCATTTAAGGAAATTTATTAATAGTAACTCAGTAGGTATCAAAAATATAAATACATTAGGTCTTATAAGCTTATTTACTTCACTACTTTATATATTGAAGAAATATTAGATATATATATACATTTTCAAGTGTTATATTTATGATAAAATGTCACATATATTAATATTCTTATATTATATATTATATTACATTATCATAAAAAAAAGCACCATGGTATAACATAAATGAATAGTAAAAACTTTTAATGAAATTATTTAGTGTAACAAATGTACCACTTTCAAATTTTTTTTTTTTTAACTATTTGTTATGAACAAAACCTCTCAACAAAACTAATATCATTTCAACTTTTTTCATTTGTAATCAACTTAATATGTAAAAAAAAATGTACATTTTTATTTATATAAATAAAGAAAAAAATATTCTTATAGGAATTTTAATTATAGGCAACACAACGAGCATGTTTTCTATAGACTAAACAAACATTACTTAAATTAAGTTTAGGTAAATTAAATAATTTAATTTTTTGAATTAAAAAATATAATATCATCCGCAGCAATTGATGTAGTTGTTCGAGTAGTGCCAGATTCATCTTTCAATTCTCCATAGATTAATCTACCACTAATGTGCACACGTTGTCCTTTTTGTAGGTAATTATATACAGTGTCACGCAATCCAGGTCTGAATACAACAATGCGGTGCCAGTCAGTTTTTTGAGTGCTTTCTAAAAATAATTATAATAAAATTATTAAAAAGGTAATAAAACAATAATTCATACATATATATTAATAATTGTATTGCCTTCATTATTGTTGATATAATTTTGGTGGGTAGCCAATGAAAATACAACAACTGGATGTTCTTCTGTGCCACGTTTTTGTGGATCTGCACCAACTCGACCCAAAAGTGTAACTTTATTTATCGCTAATTAAAAAAATTGCAAAAAAATGTAACTATTATGATAGATAGTTAATAATACAGTTGAAAATAAAATAATATATATATTTGGTTTAAATTTAAAAGTAAACTAACTCTTTTCAATTTTGATAGGTTGTGGAGCTTCTTGTGTATAATTATTTCGAAAAAGTTGCTTTGTAAAATTACTCCTTAAAATACTGGATAAAATCTGAAAAATAAAAATTGGTTTACAAATAAAATAAATGTGAAGTTATTAAAAAATTGTAATATCTATAAGTGTAAATAACTGTTTAGGAATACTTATATCAATTGACACAAAATAGGTTAATCTAATAAAGTTCTACAATTAAATAATATAACTATAGTAGTAATTCTATTAATGTACTCTAATAATACAGTAATAGAATAAAAAAATCAATATCACTTAATACTAATCATAAATTATAATGAAATAGTGAATGTACATTTTTTTAGTTCTAATTATGCAAATTCAATGTCTGAATAGTCTAAATACAAACAGATGACAGAAATCACATTTAAAGGTAAAATAATGATAAAATAAAAATCACACATGTGTAGATACTAGATAGATATGTATAATTTTTCTAAAAAATATATATGGAATGACTCTCATCAGAAAATGTAATTTTTATAGTGATAGGAGAAAATAAAACATTATATTAAACAAATATAGGCTAAGAGAAAGAATTAAATTAAAGTAAATATTGAATAGACAATACATTATACTAAGCCTAGAGATAATAATCATATTTATTTTAAAATTAAACATATTTTTCTTCTCATGCTCTGTTTATTGAATTTTGATTGGCCAGGTCTACAATTGTTATTTGCTTGAATTGTGTATAAACTAAGATTATTCATCAATATGTTATAAAACACACTTGATACTAGATCAGTAAATTAATTGCTAAAAAAATTAGAATTCCCAAATAATGTTTGCTCTTAGCAATAATTGTCAACACAAAATAGATTTCTTAACAGAATAATACATATAAAGTAAAATCTATATAATATATTTAAGATATTCAATTTCAAAAATTAATATAAATAACTTAGTATTTGTTTATATTTAATATGTATCCATTAGTAAAATAATTATATCTATACCTTCTAAGATAGGTATACATTTTGTTTAAAAAAAAACTCTAAAATTAATAAAAGAAAAATTATATTTCATACTTCATCAAGCTACTATTGTAAAGAATAAATTAGCCATTAATAACAATATAGATGTATATGTTAATTTTTTAGAAAAATTTGAATTTACATTACATTAAAACAGTTAATATTGTTGTACTATGCAAATACTTCCACTCCTGAAACCATTTACACATTCATACTACCTTGCTACAATAATTATATATTTAAAGAACTACTTGATATTTTCAACTTACATTAAAAAATAAAATTTAAAGTTTTATATGAAAATAAGTTTCTTATTTATATACCTTTGATTTTAACATTTTCTTTTTTGTATTGAATGTTCTTATAACTAAAGTGCTCTCGTTGACGTTAAACAACAGTGATCAACTGCAATATATACAACAGAAATAAATTATATTAATTATACAATCAAGTAATTACATTTTTAAATAAAAAAATACACAATACATCAATATGTGTATTAACTTGAAAATATAAACAAATAACAACATATCTTACAAACTTGACATTTGTTATTTAATATTTACCTAAATTATATGTTTATTGCTTTTGTGTACTTTAATTGTTATGATATATAACAGCGTAGAATTATTATTTGCACAGAAAATTTACTTTTCAGTTATCTTGTTTTCACTTTTATTTGGCGCACTTTAAACAAAATATGCTTTGAATTGTAATTTGTATTCCTAATAATGCGGTTATTCTTGTTATTTTTAGGTTATAGCACCAAACGCAGCCATTTTCGAAAATTAAAAATTTGCGTTTTAAAAACTTGTATTAAAACATTTAAAACTTTAAAGCTAATTTTAAATAATCAACTTTCAACTCAATGATCGAAAAAACAACAGAATTTGTGAATTTGTGATCATTTATAAAAATCATAACCATTTTAAGAAGATTATCAGTTATTCATTGAGACCGGGATCTGAATGCAAACGCACGCCCCGCTGACTTTACTACAGCTGTTAAATTATCCTATGAACAATCTGTGAGCCGATATAGGCGGACCGGTCAAAAATCTAAATTTTTGGATACCAACCAATTCCTGTTCAATTGTCGCATATATTCGTAATAGTCGTTAATTCTAAATTCTCTTAATTTGTTATAATTTCGTTTTAACGAACTTCCATTCCGTTTGAATAAAATGTAGTTCGTTAAACTAACAGTTAACGTTATATCATATTTTATTATCTTATCGAATTGTTTTTTTTTTACAACTACAATATACACCATTACCTAAAATTATTTAATAATTTTAATTTTATCAACCTTGGATTACGTGTACAATAAAGGCAGGTAATGATATATTTTTTTAACTGCTTTTACGATTCATTGTATTATTATTTTTTCTGCATTACAGTTCACATAATTGTGTAAGTTGTGTTTATGTGATTGTGTATTCAACATAACTACTTAAAGTTAAATAATCTTTAAAAATTGATTATTAATAAATTATAATTCTTATTGAATTTCTCTGCTAGTGTTTTTGCATGATATGTAAAAGGTAAAATACCATAGCTCACTATATATGATAAGTATAATATAGGTCTGCTTGCAATTAGCAAAAGTATTTGTCTATACACCAAATAAAATTAGTATTAATTAATAAACCATTAGAGTATTATTACTATTTTATGTTATATTTTTTTTACTTGTCATTGAATGGCATTCTGTAGTTTAAAATGTGATATAAGTAAATAGTAAAGAACAATCTACAATATTTATTTTACCAATTATTATGTATTTGAAATCAATTCATTTATAATTTATGTCAATTTCATACATTTTTTGTTAATAATCTTATTAGTTTTTCAACAAAATTAATATGCATATTTTCACATTGAGCATACTATGAGTACAAATTTGTGTTTAATTCTTTTAAAATTATATTTTAAACTTCAAGGTCATAAATCTTAAAGACATGAAGCCATTGCATTGATAATTATAAGTCTGTTTTTTTTTTTAAATAATATTTTTATTAATTTAAAATTCATTAATTGGAGTACATATCTAATTTACTGAGTGATTTTTTAACCATAAACATTCCATTTTTATTTCAAAACACAGTATTTGATTAAATCATATTTTCAAATTCTTGAAATATTTTGTACTATTAATAGAGTGCTCAAAATGCCCTGTGAAAATAAAAACTTCTGTTTAAAAAAAAAAATCTTTTATTTATACAGCAAATTTTTAATGAATAAATTTTCCATAAATATTGACATCAAAATCAAATTTCAAAATAGTAGTTTTTAAATTATTTAACTTAGTGTAATAAAAACAATAAATGTATGATAATGGGTTTAAAAGATATGGAATTTATGGTAATTTGAAAATTTTAATAATTTGTAAAAATTGTCTAGGCTTTAAAAATACTACATCCAATTTTAGATAAATCTATTTTATATTTTTGTTAAAATATTTTTAATGATTAATATTCTTAATATAATAATTTATATACTTTTACTTACTATTCATTCAAATTTAAAAAATAGATGTTTGTATCCTCGTAGGACATTCCTTGAGTAGTACAAAAAATTCAAGAATATAATAATATGATTTAAATAAGTATATTTATAAAATTCCAAAAATCATAATTTGTATTAATTCGCCATTAAAGGAAAAAATGGAGATGAGCATGCTTAAAAATGAGAATTACTCTTTATAATATGTAACTATAATATTATTTACCAATTAAATTTTGTAGATTTCATATGATTTTACTTTTTACAGTATATTATTTTTTGTTTATTTATCATAAATTTGTATGTTTACATTTTATAGACTACCTATACTATTTCAAATCTGCACAGATTAATCACAATGGGCATTCTTGATGATCTTGTAAGTATTTAATGAAGAATAAAAGTTTGATTATGTAAATCAAAATAAAAAAAATGTATTATTTCACTAAAAGTTTTAGTTTTTAAATAATTTATCAGAACAATTTTGGTATTACTAATTATAAGATGTCCTGCAAGTAGGCTTATTTTATTTTTATATTGAACCATTCTATTATAATATTTATAATTATTTTTTTAAATTTATGTGTTATGTTTTATGTCTCGACTTTTTTATTAATCTAGCGTATAAAACAATATTTATAGAGCCAATTTAGATAATGAACAATGAACATATTTACCTTTAACCTACTTCTATTATTAGATAGTTAAATTTATTATTTTCGATAAACCTGTATTAAATTAAATTGTGCCTCTTTTAAAGAAATATAGACCTTGGTGTGGTTCTTCCATGAAGATAAACATAACCTTCAACAACTTTTACTTTTGATTTTTGTGTAATAAAAATTGATAACATTCTTATTCATCAATAATGATCTAAATTTTTGCTATTTTTTTTTACCTTAGTTATTAATTTTTTACTTTCAATTCTACAGCACGTTTTTCTTCAAATTATATAAATTTTTAATTTCTTGTAAAAAAAAATGAGTTCTTTTTCAGTTAAAAATCTATTATCCACATTTTCGGTAAAATAAATATTAATTCAATCTTGTTTTTGATTTAAATAATATTTTATGATTTGTTTTCTTTAAAATAAATATTTTTATCTTTAATATATTATTCACTATCATTATTATTTATTTTTTAGAGTGTTTCTTCGGTGTTAGTTGGACTTGGGATTGTTGTTACTACTGGTTTTGCTATATCAGCATTTGTAGCCAATTTCCAAAAGAAAAGTAAAAAAAAAAGAACTTTAGTGGATTCAAATACTAAGATTCCATTACCACTTATTCAAAAACATATTATTAGTCATGACACACGAAGATTTAGATTTGAATTGCCATCCAAAAATCATATTCTTGGTAATGTTTATTATATACTCAATTTTTTAGATAAGATATGTTGTATATTTTCATTACATTTTATAATAATGTATAGATTCATTATTATTATTATTATTAATAATTAAAATATACAGGTTTACCAATTGGGCAACACATACATTTATCAGCAAGAATAAACGAAGAATTAGTTGCTCGTGCTTATACACCGGTCAGTAGTGACAATGATGTTGGATACATGGATTTGGTTATTAAGGTGAATTAGCTTACATTATTTTAAATGAATAAAAAAAAATCTTTTGTCATAATTTTTTTTAGGTTTATTTTAAAGACCAAAATCCTAAGTTTCCTGATGGTGGTAAATTAACACAATATCTTGAAAAAATGGAAATCGGAGACACAATTGATGTTCGAGGACCTTCAGGTCGTCTTATTTATCACGGTCGTGGAGATTTTGAAATTAAAGCTGTTAAAAGAATAGATCCTTCTCATAACTTTTATGCTAAAAAATTATCAATGATTGCTGGTAAAATAATTAATGTTAATATCTATTCATGTGTTACAATATTAATTTTTTCCTATGGGGTATATCAGGTGGTACTGGTATTACACCAATGTTACAGATAATTAGACAAGTCACTAGAGATCCTAAAGATGAAACCAAATTGTCATTACTTTTTGCCAATCAGACTGAAGAAGATATATTATTAAGAGACGAATTAGAAGAAGCCGCTAAAAATCATCCCGATCAGATCAAAATCTGGTATACAGTTGATAGACCTACTGATGGTAAATAATTTATTAAACTTTGATTGTTTTTCATACTATGCTCTGTCTAGCGAAAGAATATATTGATTCTGCTAATTCTTCAACGACCTGCCATCAAGGCTAATTCCACTATAGTAGTGTGTCTCATTGAGATATGCAAAAGAATGAATTTACTGACTTGCTGATTTTTTCGCAAAACAGAGTATTAGTGATTTAATATATTCAGAACATTATTTTAACATAGTTTACTAATTATTAGGATGGAAGTATAGTGTTGGATTTATATCATCTGACATGATATCAGAACATCTATATCCACCAGCTCAAGATACATTGGTATTGATGTGTGGACCTCCTCCAATGATAAACTTTGCATGTATTCCAAATCTTGATAAACTTGGATATGATGCTAAGTTACGATTTTCTTATTAAAAAAGATAAATGTTTTTCATTTTTATTAGACCGTCCGTAACAGTTTTGAGTTGTATTTGTTGATTCACATTTTGTATTAGATTTTGATCATTGAATGGGTATTTGGTATTTAAAAACATTTAAAACCCTTTTATAATGTTGCTAATAAATTGGTGTTAGCACTTAATTTATGTACAAATTGTTTAATCTAGCTAAGCATAATACAATATATTTATATAATATTTCTTCAATATATCTATTTTAGAATGTATTTCAAAACAAACATTTTTAAATTCCTGTTTTGGCTTACACCAAAAATGTATATATTCTTATATTCTATATTGTATGTGATGTGTTTTAATAAAGTGTTTCATTTCTAGTATTTAACTGTTAATTGATACATGGTGAGAAAATAAAACAATGTGATTATTTGGATTCTAAATGTTTACTGACATATATGATGTTTAAAAATACTACTTTCAAGGTTTATATATGAAAAAATTACTGATATGTGTTCTTTATTATATCAACAATATTATCAAGTTAACAAATTCAATAGTGCCGAACACCTTATAATCATTTCAATTGAACTGGGTATATTTGATGATGTGTAGGTATAGAGGTTAGTAAATTATAAGTACTATGCCTAGAGAAGTACGTGTGCAGTGGGCACCATAACCTTTTTTATAATCTAAGTAATAATATTGAAAGTTGAACATATTTTATTCACATTCAACACCATAGTCTTGATATCATTAAAATTGCCCTGATTGTCAAAGTCGACAAAATAAATTTAATATTCACTTTGAATTGGTTTTTATTTTTATTTATTTTTAATGTAGGTATTTATTTTTCCCCTGGAATAATGACGTTGATCGTCAATAATAATTTACTATTTATAAATTATACTAAAATTAATATTTATTTTATTTTACATTATACATTAATCATGAACAGATTAAAGTTTAGTAAGTCTCAATAAAAAAAAAAGTAATCAAAAGAAAAGACTGATAAGTTAATTAATATTGTGGCAAATTTCATAATAGGGCAATAAATTGTTAAATGCACCCCTGGGTCACCGCTATGTCAACTGTCGTAATGTCTGTAATGATGCATTGAAGACCAGCACGATTTATAAATCTTTTTTTTTTTTTACAAGATATTTACAATCTATTTAAAGAACAATAAGCAAATTTGATAAGAGTAATAAAACATGAAAAGTGTGACGGAAGAAGAAGCCACCCATTGACAACACTACTTATTTTGTTTCAGTTTAATTAGTGGATTTTCTAGGATTCGTGCATTTAGCAGGTCATGACACCAGTTACGTTTAAGACGTTTAGCGGGATTATCTGGAATCGAAGGGATTGCTAGATTTTTTTTATAAGAGGGTTAAGATGGTTGGGTAACCTACTGTGGAAACGCTTATAATATAGTTTTGCTTCGTCTTTAACGGAATTCATTCTAAGGTCTTGTATAGAATGGTTGGAGACATGAGGTGGAGCATTTAGTTTCCTTAACGCAATATTTTGAAAAGTTTGGATCTTGTTGATGTTAGTTGTTTTTGCATTACCCCAGAGCTGTATGCATATGTCCAAATAGGCTTGATTAGAGATTTATAAATAAGAAGTTTAGTTTTAATGTTTGTGTATTTATTATTATTGCAGAAAGTTTTTAACAGGCGTAACCGTAGGTTTAAATTTTCTTTTAGATTTAAGGTAAGGGGCCCAGGTAAGTCTGCGATCAAGGGTAAGTCCTAAATATTTGACAGTGGAAGAAGTAGGAATTTGAGTGTCATATATAGATAGGTACCTCGGGGCAAGGAGAGAGACGAAGTGTGGATAGATTTTGTCTGGTTAATTTTAAATCGCCACTTGGTATACCAGTCTTCCACAAGGATTAGGTGATTCTGAAGATTGTATGAAGCTACTTCCGGATTTGAATTGATAGATATTATTGCCTTATCGTCAGCATAATCAGAAACTAAAGTGTTAGGTGAGGTAGGCTGATCAGCAGCATAAATGTTATAAAGTACTGGAAAGAGTATACCCCTTGGGGAACACCGGCTGAAATATTGGATATAGTTGAGTGTGCATTACCGAATCTGATTTGAAAATGACGGTTTGACAGGTATGATTTAATGGTTAGGTAAAAAACAGGGTGCAAGATTTTTTTAAATTTGACAAGAAGACCATCGCCCCATACCCTTGCAAACGTTTGTGAAATATCTAAAAAGGCACAAGTAGCTACCTACATTACTGTTTTTTTTCGAGTGAGAACGAGATGGCATCGACAATTCTGTGTGCCTGATGAATAGTAGAGTGGGCAGAATGGAAGCCAAATTGGGTATCGGGTAGAACCGAGTTTGAGATATTAAGTAAGATCAATTTTTGCGAAGAAAGGTCGAAAGGAAGATACAGTATCTGGAGGTTTCTTAGGCTTGGGAATCAATAATAGTTGAAAATTTCCATAATATTGGAAAGTAAGAAAGTCTTAAAATACAATTAAAAATGTGAGTGAGGTGTATGATAGCTTTTTTTGGTAAGCATTTGGCAAGATTTATAAATCAAAACACAATAACAGTTCATTATGCGCAGACTGTCTCATAATAGTCTACCTGATTTTCTTTCATTTAGTAAGTTGTGAAAATGTTGATTTTGGATTTGTAATGTGTAATATGTTCGCCCGTTTTAATTTAAAATTTTAAAACTGCGTGGTATATACTATACTTACAACGTCCTCAATTATATAATTAGTGGATACTTGATGTTACGTACTTGTGTCAGAATAAAAAATAACTTTAACACAATTAACAAGTAATAACATTAAATATAAATACTATATTTATTATATAATTTTTTATACATGTTACAATATTATACAAATATACGTTTATGGCCTCGAGACGTAAAGATTAGACACTTGACTACTTGAGGTACATGGTAATAAAACCAAAGTTGTAGTTTTTCGTTTTTTTGGTATTTCATTTTTCATAACGCATGACATATTTCAACCTATTGCATTAATTAATAAAAAATTCTAATCACATATCAACGATGATATGAAATTGACCAAAAACAATATATTTCAAGCTATACCATTAATTTTTGGAGTCACATCGATATAATATAGTATCGAAAAAATACTCTACATCTCGAACAGCCGTACCCGTTACATCGACGTCCGTCGAGCTAAGGTGTAATAAATTATAAAACTTAATTTATCATTACTATACTTAAATGAGTAATTTTTGAAAAAAGAAGTAATTAATCACGATTGATAACATACATTGATAAACTGTTTCCATGCGAACTTCGTAACGCGACCAACAAAAGTTAAAATTTGATTAGAAAATTCATTTTTTGACCAGAAAATTATAAAAACGCGCTAATAGCACAAACCGATGTTTGACATAGTAAGAAAAAATAAAACATAACTAAATATAATTTATAATTTTATTATTGAAAATATATCAAAAACGAATAAAAAACTTATAGTACACAAATAACAATATTGTTTAAAACACTCAATTAGACATAATTATAATATAAAAAATAAATAAAAATTTTAAGTACCTCAAAAGAATATAATACATTTATACATACTAATACTTAAAAATGATTTATGTGTGTACAAAATACACAGTTTAATCTTTTAATATTAAAATGCACGTATTATATTCAGAACATTAATTTATTCTAAAATTTGAAGTACTTTCAACAATTATTGATCTTCAATAAATTTATTTTTAAATTAAACTTATGATAATTCCATACTAAATAGTAATTACAGTAAGAAATATTACACTTTTAAATTATTAATAATATTGATTCTCCTTTTATATTAAATTTATAACTATTGTTTGTAACACGGAATAATAATTATGCAACAAAAATATCTCCTGTCAACTGCTATGGGTGCTGCTGTTACATTTATTAAACACTAAAAAAAACTACTTAAACTATTTACTAAAACTTGTTTATATTTCAATGTATGTGTCATACCGAGTGTTAATTAAAATTAAAATATTAATATTAAAAATAAGATACTTTAGGGGCAGACAAGAATCCTGGTCTATTTGATGGTGGCATTTTTACTGTTGATTTTAGTGTAGATGTTTGGGGTTTAGTTGCCTTAGACTGTTTTGAAGCCATGAATGTTGCAGTTTTTTTCTTTGGGCTAAATTTTTTTAATAGAAAGAAATCATAATTAATAGTTTATGTATGTATTTAATTTAACAACATATTCATCAATTAAATATAGATCAGATCATAGGTGCTAGGTTTTAAAAAATGTAATGGGTGTCCGTATTTTTAAAATTCCTCATCTAAAAACATTAATTATTTAATTTATTATCAGTGTTAAGTACTTATTGGGGCTTATTGCTAAAAGGTGAATATATATGAAAATAAAAGTGTGTAATAAATATTAATTTAAATAAAAAATCTTTAATATTTCTAACAGATGCCCAGCAGCTTTTAAAAATGTCAACAGGTACTCAAATGTATATTCATGGTGTGCGTATGAGTCTGATAAGCAATTATGTGCATATGAACACTAAAATCCATATTATTAAATGACCAATAGAACAATAAACAATTTATACAATTTATTTACTATAAACATCGGTTTTAGAAAATATTTAGTATATTCTAAAATGAACGCTATAACATATATTTAAGTAAAATATGATTAAATCATAATACATACAGTTATATAACATGTATACGTACTTTTTACTCTTTCCTCTTTTAAACCTTTTATTTCCTCCTTTATTTGAATAATAAGTTTTTCTTTTGTTCTTATTGTTTACCACACTAGTAGTCATATCATCAAAGTATGGACAGTCTGTACTAGTTTTGAGCCAATCTCCTTCTTCATCAATATTATTTAGCTCATTTTCTTCGCACTCGGCAACTATTAGTCAATAATTATTTTTAGTATTATAAATTTTTAAATTTAAATATTTTTAAAGATCTAACTTAACACAAAAATATTAAAATAAAATAATAAATTAAAATTTTTTTTTTTTATAGTATTCATAAAATTAAAAGACAAATTATTGTTTATAGTGAAATGGTTATTTAAAAATAAAAAGAAAATAGTCTAGTCAGAGTTGCAAGTACTGGGTTTAAGTACACACATGGTACTCTCCAATTAAGGATTAAAATTATTTTACCAAATTTATTTGCAGCTGCTTCCTGTGTAATTTCTAACAATTGTCTGCCATATTTTTCAAAATTGGCTTTAGTCACTCCAACAATTTTTAACATTTCTTCTTCAGTCTCTGGCAAAGAGTGAGACATCTCTTGAATTGCCTGAAAAAAATATAATATATTTAAATCTAATTCATAAAAATATGAGTAAATGATTTTTTTTTTTTTTTTTTTTTTGTTGAATATAGTGGCATACACAATTTTTCATAGCAGTAAACATTATATTTAAAGAAAAAACCCTATTTTTGATCCATTAATTATTCATAATTACTAACTTGAATAGTCATAACAGCATTAGTGTTCACATTTAATGAAGCAGCTAAACCACGACAAACATCCATCAAATTTTCATAACATTTTTCTTGGATTTCTTTTAGAACAGTATTCACTGGTGTGTTCGATTGTTTACTTGTAGTTTCAATGTTTAATTTATTCTTTGAAGCTGATGCTAATTTTAACTAATAAGTAATAACATATTTAATATGTATACAGTTAAGTCATAAATAATAAAGTTTTGTTAGTTAAATACTTAAATTACTTTTACTGATCCTCGAATGAGTTTGTCTGCTTCTGGACCAACTCTGACAAATGCGTTAATAATATCTATTTTAGAAGCAACCATTTCTTCTCTCAAATAACCTTCCAAAACTAATTTATGCATCAAACGTTCTGCATCAAATCTATCCCAATGTTTTCCACGTCCATGTAAATTCAATTTATCATGATCTAAGTCACAAAGCACAAAAATGTATATGTATAATATTTAATTTTAAATAAAATATAAAATATTATTAAAATAAAAGTTATAAAATAAAACTCACTGTTTAATTTGATTTTTTGATTTGAACTGCCTTTAAATATATCAATAATATGTATCAAAGTAAAATTATTGTTCCAACTACCACCTCCTGAACCACATAATTCTTTAATTGTTTTAACTATTTCAATACTATCTTCTGTGACATCAATATATTTAAATGTCGCCTAAGTATTTTTTTAAATGTATTGTAATTGTTAAATTTAATTATTTAAAACTTATACACTTTTTGATATAAGCAATATTTACTTTATTTTGACAATTATCACATGCTGTTTCTTTATTTGAAATACATTTATTATCATCAAATGTTTCACCAAAATAGTTAAGTTGTAAAGTTCGCCTGCAATCTGCTTTATTTTCACAGTATGATACAATTCTAAAAAGATTTTGCATATGTACTTTTTTTGATTCATGATTACCACTGTCGTCCACTAAAAAAAAAATATTCAATACATCAGTTAGATAAATATTAAATACTAAATATTATAATTGTAAAATGCTTGCTATTAGTGTAAAACAGATCCAAAAAACTACTTAGTATAATAATTATAATTCTAAATTACTTTTAACGATTCAATTTAACATTACTTATAATTTCCAAAAATATTGTTTACAGGTTGATTTACTAAGCGTGTTCACCCCATTTTTTTATTTAATAATGAATTTATTCAAATTCTGACTTATGGAATTTTTAAATATATTTTACATCCTTTCATATTCTTGAGATATTATATACTACTTAAGATACAAACTTCTGTTTCACAAATGAGAACTTTTATGCTGTAAATTTTAGTGAATCATTTTTTGTCATTTAAAAAACAGGAGTTTGCATCCCCACAAGACACTTCTTAATTAGTACAGAAAATAAAGTTTTAAAGAATATTTAAAAATTCAAAAAATTAGATTATTAATAACTGCATTGTTTGCTCAAACATGTTACTTGTAAAATCCTACTCAGTAATAAAAATAAAAAAGGATTATTAAATACTTGCACTCAATAAGTTTTCGAATGCGATGCATATCTTGATAACTATAGTAAAGAAAACAATGAGACGTTTTTCCATCACGTCCAGCTCTACCAGATTCTTGATAATAACCTTCAATAGACTTTGGTAGAGAATAATGAAAAACATAACGGACATCTGGTTTATCAATGCCCATACCAAATGCGATAGTAGCACAAACCAACTGAAAAATAGTAGAATGATTAGATAGTTCTAACTTGTAGTAAACATAAAATTAATTGCTTGAATTAATTTTAATTAAATTAATAATTCATAAATAATAGTAAGTAATAAGTACATTAACTTTGTTTGTGATCCATTTCATTTGAACATCATTACGTTTAGAATCAGTTAGACCAGCATGATAGCTAATTGCTTTAATTCCTTCATTACACATAAAAGTTGCTGTATTATCACATTCATTTCTTGACAAACAATAAATTATGCCAGACTGGTTTTTATATTTTTCTTTGATGAGATTAGCTATTTCTGCCAGAGCAGATTTTCCTTTCTTGGGAACAACTTTATAAAGCAAATTGGGTCTATTAAAACTAGATAAAAATCTGGAAACGACAATTCAATATACATAACACATTAAATAAAAGAGATATTTCTCACAAAAGTATGTTGTAGATTATTTTTAAAGTATATTAATTAAAAAAATATATGTATTACAATTTTGTTCCGCTGATTTGTAACTGATGTAGTACATCTTCACGGACACGAGGTGTTGCAGTAGCAGTTAGAGCCATGATTGGAACATCTGGATATTTTTTTCTAAATTCTCCTAAACGTTTATAATCTGGTCTAAAAGTAAATAAAATTTTTAATTAGCAATCAAGTATAATTTATTATTTACACAAACCGAAAATCATGACCCCAATGAGAAACACAATGAGCTTCATCAATAACTAGACGGGCTAGTTTTCCACGACAATGCAAATTGTTTAAAACTTGTCCTAATTTCATACTAGCAGCAATTTTTTCTGGCGTGACATACAACATTTTTAAACCTTTTCAACAATATTTAAGTAAGAAATAATAAACTATCACAAATAGTAATAATAATATAAATTTAATTACCTGGCTCAGACATACATAACTTTGTGAAGATTGAGTTTTCTTCTTCGTATGGCATATTACCTAACAAGTGGGCTGTTGGAATCTAAAAACAACATAGTAAATTAAATAATTTAAAACAGTAAAAGTAATATTTACATCTAATGACTTCAATTTTTCAGTCTGGTCAATGACTAATGATTTCAAAGGTGAAATAACAAGTGTCACTCCTTTGGATATTACTGCAGGTAATTGATAACATAATGACTTTCCGCCACCAGTAGGCATCAATACAAAACAATCGTGACCAAGTAATGCTGCATTAATAGTTTCCAACTGATTGGGACGAAAATCATGAAGACCAAAAGTTGATCTAAATACCTGTAAAATACACAGAGGTATTATTTCATAAACTATGTATAAAACTTCAACTAATAAATTGTACAGTAAATAATTCTCTTGAATGAGGATAATTTGTTTTGCTGAATTCTCCTTTAGAAACTGGTGTGTTTGACACTGATGTTTTTTTCAGGGTACAGTTTGATATTGGTTGAGAAGTATTCTCAAAAGAAATATTACTGGCTAAATATTTAAGAAAAAATAAATTCAAATTAATCAATTGTTTTAAAAATATCATTTTTAATTTACTACCTTTTTCATAACTAGACTGGGATGGCATTTTTTTAGTCTCAAAATTATTAAGTGTATTTAGATTGTAATCATTAACTAAACGATTTTGAACATCAGACATAGAATATGAATCAAAATTATTGTCATTGACAATACAACCCAATTCATCCACGCTTAGACGTTCTCGGGAATAAATATCTGTAGTAGTATTATTTTGAAAATCTGATCGACTATCATACAATTTATTAGTATTACTATTGTTAAACACATTATATGATGTATTAAATCTAGTATTATCAGTATTAGTTGATCCATATTTTGGAGAATTAAATGTTTGCTTTTCATGCTGAGAATCAGTTGATGTGTCAAATCCATTTAAAAATGATGTTCTGGATTTATTTTCAGTATTACACAAATTGTTATTACTTGAAGTAGTTGGTTTTGAATATTCATTCATTAAACGTGTCTTACCAATTTTTATTTTATTTTTTATTTTTTGTCGCATTCTTTTAAGCTCAACCAAAACTGAAGGACTTTTAAGACTAGGAATTGAAAATACAACAGTATCTGATATGTTTAAGATTATATTATACACTTCTTCTAACATATCTAGTTCTAAATTTTTCAAATTCATCAAATGATTCTCTAAATTTGTAATTGGTATCTAAAAACAAAAGTTAATAATTCTAGATTAATACATTTTTTCCATTGTCATCTAACATATCAATTATTTTACAATATTATAGTATTACCTAGTTGCTATAATATCAAATACTAAAATATATTTTCTGTGAATATAAAAAAACTAAAGTATAATTTATTTTTTATAAACACATAGTGCTTATCTCAATATGTCTATCAATACTTACATCAGAAATTGTTTCACATAAAATAGAATTACTGTTTAGATCATTAAGCCAAATGCCCAAATCTGTTGATTGGTTTTCTAAAACCAAAATATAAATAATAAAAAATTTCCAAATACATATATAATGAAAAAATAAACACAAACCAGTAGTAGTAATAATTTCTCCACGGTTTTTTGGTGTATTATCGCAAATTACATTATTAGGATTGAATGTTGATACTGTAGAAAGTGACAGTTTTTTTTTAAATTTTTGTGGAGTTGAAAATTGCGTTTTTGTTAATATTGATGGACTCTTGGGTACATCAAAATGAATGTCATTACTTCCTTTAGATGTCTAAATGGAAATACATAAATGTAATTTCAAACAATATTAACTATTTTACTAAAGTTTTTAAATATCAAACAATATAAGATTATTTAATTAAATGATTAAACGATGCCTAATTGTGTATACTATTAGGTAATTTAAAGAGAGATATAGTTCAACATATTAAAAATACTAATGTAATAAATAATACTACTGTGTTCATTTAAATTTTAACTAAATACTAAATTGTGAGATAGGATTAATATTAAAATTATTTAGTATTTTAGATAAATTAAAAGAAAAAACTTCAAAATATCTTTCAGCATTATTGAAATAAAAAATTTTCTGTTTCATAAAATAATTAACTTAGTACAAAAAGAATCTGTATCTGTATATATTTTTTACTTACATTATCTGGATTGGATGATGTTTTTTCTGGACTATAAATAATACTGTCATCATCATCTTCATCATCATTATAACACTCTATTTTATTCTTTTGAGTGTCTTTTGGAATTTCTTATACAAAAAACAATTTAAATTTTTTACTTAATATTTTTTTTTTTTTTTTTTTATAATATTTAAACAACTTTAATCAAAAAAGTATGGCAAATGTTTAAATATTTAAACTGCTTGGTTTTCAAGAAAAAGTATATTATTAATGATTTTATCTCTATATTATACAAATTTTAGTTTGGATTTTGAATTATAAAAATTCACAAAATCTAAATAATTATCATTGTTCAAAATGCAATAAGTAATAATTGTTAATATTATATATATATGGTATATACATTAATGAAATGCATATAAATGATTGAAGTATGCATCTATACTATAGATTCTATAGTATTCTAATAAGCTAACTAAACTGTTCAATTTTACTTACCTTTTTTATCATAAGTAGTTTTGTTGACTTTTACATTTTCTTCGTCACTATCTATCAGACTGACTATGGATGATTTAGGTTTACTGAAATAAATTAAGTGTACATGTATTTTTTTCTAAATAACTTTTATTAGGTTTTTATTTTATTGTACACTTACATAAATTGGATATAAGAATAGTATATATAATATTATTTAAAAATATACCATATTGTTATCATTAATATTTATTTTATAATGATCTATTAATTTAAAATAGATTTTTAAAGACTGAAGTTAAACTATAAATACATACAATATCAGTTATATCAGTTTTTGTACAACCCATTTTGGTACAATTTAATTGTTTTATTCTGTTATCTACTTTCTAACAGTATCGAAAAGTAAGCCCTGTTAAGTATTATAAATTATATATCTTTACCAACTAAATTTAAATAGTAGAGATAAAACTAAAAGAAGTTTACAGTACTTTAATAATATTGGATAATTTGATTTTTTAACATTGGTTAACAAATCTGTCTATTCTTATTTTAACTAATAACACAGCAAACTTCATAACTAATATAAGGCTGTTTACAATTTTTAGAGTAAAATAAATTTATATCAAGCATTTTATTAAATACTAATAATTAGCATTTTTATAAATTAAAATTAGTTTAAAACAATTATAGCAACTAAATTCAAACTTGATTTAATCACCTTATTTTAAATAAAATCTTGATTTTTAAGATTTCAAACTTAGTAGTTATTTTTTTGAATCTCCATAAATCATATTTAAGAGATAAAAATTATTCTTACCATTGATTTCTTTCCGATTCATGCTTAATATTAGTAGAACCGAGACGTTTCAAAACGTTACTTGGTTTTTTTAAAAAAAAATCCATGTTTAAGATCAGCTTCGAATAAGTAAATTAAATTTAACAGTCTTATACATAGTCCATTAATGATTTATTGTAATTTGAATAAATTCAAAATAATTGAAGACAAATATACAATAGCACACATTTTATAACTTCTAAATTTCAATATTCGTAATGAAAAGTGAAAAAATATATTGTTAGAATTTTATGGTTTTTATTGACAAAGATTAGAATTTTATCACACAAGTAAATTTGGCGCTAAGCTATTCAAAATTGATAAGAGTAATGGATTTTTATAATTTTTTATCAGATAATATTATCAGTTATCGTCGATTTCATGATTTGTCGGATGTACTTCGGGTTGCGAGATTTTAAAATCACCAAACCAGAACATCATATTGAATAACCTTTTTTTTTTTTAAATTTCTGAAGCTTTTTTAAAAAAAAAAGAAAGACAAATACACTTGAAAACATGTCAATAAAATTTAGAAAACATAATACGACAATAATATAATGATATTATGTACAATATTATTCTATATTTTATTATTAAATAATATAATATTAAAGTTATTTTCTCTCGACTTCTATTAACCAGGACAAAATTAATGACCAACCAGAATACCGAGACATGCTGTTAAAATCGAGACGAATGGCAAACCTAGATGTACTTGTCTTGTGTCTTGTAGTTGTAGAGAACACACAACACGGTCAAGATTCGAGGTAAATAAATAACTTACTTTATAAATTATTAATGTTATGACCCGTTAAATTATTTTATAATGTACGTATGGATAACGATCATCATGATTAAATTCACAAGTATAATGTACATATACATATTAGTATTTAGTATATAATTAATCAAGTTATTTAGTGCTAAGAACAAAGAACTCCCCCATATTGGCCATATTCCACATATTATGTTAGGTATACGTAAAACATGCGATTTGATAAATATGATTTGCATAATAAAGGTAGGTACTAAATTTGATAATTATTTTGATGTACTCGTTTAAATCAATCAGAATATTTTTAGTTTTAAATCCTAATATTACAGGTACAACAAATTGTTTTACCTATTTACATATTGAATGTGTATAAACATTTGAGTTTCTCTTTAGTAAATAAAATAATAAAATATTATAAAATTTTGATGCAAATCCCTTCATAACTACCTACCTATGTTTTTAATTTTTCTAGTTAATTTTTATACATTGAATTATGAATAAGAATGTTAAAATAATATAATAGGTAAATTGTGTATGTAATATTTTTGTTTTAATTTAATTTCATTAATAAAAAGGTAAAAGTGGGTGGGTACCTTTCTGTGGTACATTAAATATTGAGTTGGCCATTATAGGTATTATAGCCAATAGGTGTGATAAATTACTTAAATTTGAATGCAATGATATATCATTGTAGGTAAATGAAAAACAGTTGTGGGCGGAAACGGTCTATTAGTCTACATCACAGAGTGATTTTTTTATTTTTATCATAGCTTTTCAAATCGTTTATTTTATTTTCAATATTATAATAGGTTGACATAATCTTTTTCCGAATTTATTGTATTTATTATAATTTTTTTATTTAACAAAAGTATATTATTTACAATCTGTAATATTTATATACAATAAGTAAATTTGGTAATTTTTTTCCCTAAGATGTACAACGTGAAATAGTGTATGGAAACCCTTGTGTGGAAACCCTTTGACCTAAGGAGGGAAAGATTCTTTTAGTTGGTTAATACAAGTCAGGATTTGGGAGATTCCTACACCAGTGATTTTTTAATCGATGTAGGGGTTGTTTGAGATAAATTCATTGGCTAAGTCCAATACTAATGGATTTATCCGGTTAGCTATTTTGGTGTGAAATTTTTTGTAATAATTTGTTATAGAGACCGTTTCGATCTTTAGATCGTTGTGTAGTGAGATGTTGAATACATACTAGGGCGCTGATGTTATTTGACGAAGAGAAATAGATTGACTTGAGAATAGGGCGTAGTAGATGAAGTTTAGTGTAAAGAATTTTTACTTTGGTTTTATGCTCCAGGTTAAGCATTTGTCTAGAATTAAACCTAAGTGTTTTGTTTGAGTTGTGGTTGGTATTTGTTTGTTTTGGAAATAAATTTCAGGTTTGATGTGAGAGGATTTGTTTGAATTTGATTCTCCATTTGAGAAACCATTTGGAAATGCTTTTAAGTGTATTTGGAGCTTTTAGTATGCTGTTGTGGGGTCGGAATGTAAAGAGTGAATTACCGCATCATCAACGTAAGTAGCTATCAGTGTATTTTTGAATTTAGGAAGGTTAACTGTGTAAATGTTGTAGAAGTTCGGTGACAAGTTGCTTCTAAGAGGTATTCCTTCTTTCTGCTTAGTTTTGGAATTATGAGATGGTCCTTGCCGGACGATTAATGAACGGTTTTGTAGATATGATTTAGATAAAAAGTAGAGAGGCGATCCGGGAGGATCTTTTTTATTCTTAAGAGTAAACCCATGTGCCATAATGCTAAACCCGGTCAAAAACTTGTGACAAGTTCAAAAAAACTTTTTGGCAGAAGTTTTTGTTTTCAAACGACGAGTTGCAATTATTATAGAACGTATTTCTATTTAAATATTATAATAATATATATTTAATATTTATACTATAATATATCAACTTATACTATTCAAAATTCATCTTACTGGACTTACTGTAAATACCGTAAAACAGTAAAAATAGATTTATAGTACCAAGTAATAAATAATATTTTAAAACAAATCAAAAATATTATTACTTATAGTAAAATTCATAATAATATAAAATATGTAAAACTATAAAAGTTTAATAATGTTTTGAAATTATAACAAAATAGTTAAAACATCATTGTTTATTGATTAAATATATAATTTCGTCCAAATTTCAGTTTAGTATAAACTTACGAAGAATCTATCTTAAAATTTTCAATATACTTAAATACAAAATTTTTTTATGAATTTTCAACAACAAAATAGTTTTCAAATTTTTACAATTTTAACGAAATTTATCAAAATTTTGATTTCAAATGCATATTTAAAAAACTGTGACAATGTGTTTTTAATATTTTAATATAGATATAAGAATACTTTTTTTGAATCTTATGTATTAAATTTTAAAGAATTTTGATCCAGTAAATAATTTTTTATTGCTATTTGTGGAAAAAAAACTTAAAAAACTTTAAAAATTGCATGCCTATAAATAATTCAAAAAGATTTAAAACTTTAAAATTTTATTATACATAGAAAACGATTATATAAAAATTTAGTGAACATTTCAAACATCTACGATAATTAATTTTAATAAGTTACATAAAAGAAACAAAATCAAATTTAATCAAAAATACGATTTATGTAAGAATTCTCGTTTTTCCTGACTATAAAAATAAATATTTGGAGTTTTAAGTTTGACTTTTTAAGTACAAACTAGATTCAATTTTATATCCAAAACCATTCCTAGTTTTGAAAATTGAAGCATTTTATCAACAACTTATCGTGTACTTGTCTAGAAAAATAAACATATGATAAAATACATTATTAACACTCGCTCAGAATCTAAAAGAATAATAATAATTAAGTCTCGGAACATAATACTCTTGAAAATTACTAAATATTATGCATATATTTATTGACAGCGAACCATGTATTAAAATTGTAATATACCTATCTGTAATTCTGAAATTGTATATGTATTATATACCTACTTACGGGCTATGACATAATTAACATCAGCATTATATTAAACATAATATAAGAGATCGTTTTTATTTTAAGCCTCCTCTCAATAAAAATCAATTTATCATTTTTTCATTAATGAAAAATCTTAGCTGCGACGCTACGTTTATCTATCTTCTATGGCTTTGTCACTTCTTTTTATAAAATTTTAATGCAACATAATACGTGCGAAAACTGCTTATATTTTTGTTAAGAAAAAACGCTTTTATTTTATATACGATCATTGTTTTCTAATAGATTGCCAAGTGTTTTTGTTAACCGACGCGGCATGTCCAAGACAATAAAATTTTAGAATATAGATTACGACAGGCAGTGATTAAAATGGATATATATTTTTTTTGAAGAATCTATATAAATATATTAATGGTCGGTAACCTTTTTGGATTCTCGGACCACATTCATAAATTAAACCTAATAACAGCTCACTTTGGAAAGCAACCAAAGAGCTCATTAGATTTAAAGAATAAATGTTGCCTCTTCAACAATAAAACGGACATTAGTAACTACTGATAAGGACAAAGCTAACTTTTTTATCTCATAAGTCCTAATTAACCAATAACCAAAACATGGTAAACATTTTGAAAAAGCGTTTCTGAAAAGATTATGGCTCATTCTACAAAACGACCATATTATATCAAATAACCAATTAGGATTTCGAAGTAGGCACTTGACTATTTATCAGGCCTATCATCTTATTGACAAAATTTCAACTACTCTCGAATTCAAACAATATAGGCTATACTGTTCTGGGCTCTTTTTTGATATTTCGCAAGCCTTCGACACAGAATAAAGCACAAAGCTCCATTATAAACGTAATTTAAAATTTCTTTTTGCCTACTCCTTACTATCTTATTTTTAAATCACTTGGTAAATATATGCTTTTTTTACCATAGAGTAATGAAAGTGGCGTAGCCAAAAGGAGGGGTAAAGTGTTATACCATCCCCCTAAAAAGTCTTTCTTATTAAATATAAATTTATTTTATGCTTATGTACGTATTATATGTAAATATATATTTATTTACTTTTTTGATGAGTGCAGTGTTCAGTTTCAATAAATTAAATAATAACACATTTTAAATTATAACTTATGTTTAATCGATCTATTAAAATTAAAAAGTTGGTACTTATGTAAGAGAGAATTTAAAATTTACTCCTCCCCCTAGAGGCTAGAACAAGTTGTAAAAGTTATGATTAAGTATTTAATAAATACGAGTAGGTACTTGAAATAAATATTAATGAATCTAATCAAATTTAACGTTTCTGTTAAATGTTGTATTTCAATACACAAATGTACATTCACATTGTGAAAAAATTACATGATGTTAAATCGAATGAAAATATCGAATGACAATTTCATGAAATATTTTCAAATTTCATAAAGTGTAAAAAATCTGTTTCAATTTCATTAAATGGCCATCTTTTTTATGAAAAGATCGATTTCACGAAGTGGCTACGACATATATACCGGAATTTCAAAAGGTGATTTATTTTTTGATCTATAATTAACATTTTTATGGTCGATATCCACCAATCTATTAACATTTTTCTTGCTTGCTATATTTGCTGATGACACCGCTATTCTTACCACTAGTTCAAATCCTATCCAAGTTACCAAAGTACTTAAGGATCAAATAAACAAAATCGATACATGAGCTAAACTATGGATTATCAAAGTAAATACCGATAAATGTACCCAAATTACTTTCACATAAAAAATTTTCCTTATATTGTTTGTTTATTTTTAATTGTACAATATACCATGACAAATTTGTCATGCAATATACTATTAATTGTAATACTACCTATATCTAATAGTATAAAAATCATTAGTTATATATTTAACAATCAAATTTATATTTATGATATGATATATTTATCTACCTCAAATATTTATCTACCTTCAAATTTAGAATAATAGTACTGCGGAATGAGTATCAAGATCTTTGAAAAGGAAAATAAATTATAAGCTATAGTTTGAAACTAAAAGAATTTATATAGTTATAAATTTAAGTTTTGATGTCTCGGATTCATAAAGGTTAATTATACTTAATTATATATTTTAATGCTTATTATTGTTGCTACGCTAATACCCGGTAGTTATTTATAAACAAATATTGTCCTAGTCGTTACTCGTCTGCAGTCATTATAGTAGATGGCATCTGGCGAGAATAGATGAATGGTGATTGTATAATATTCTAAATTACTCACAAGTTCATAACCTAGCCATGTTTTTCTTTCTTTTTTTATTCTTTTTTAACGTCTTATCAATCGATAAGATTGATAATAATAATTACCAATCTACATTTACGTTTGTATGAATAAATATTATAAGCTGTTATAAATTATAATACAGAAAAATTAGAAAAATTAACTTCAATAAAATATTTAAAATATGACATTTATTTTTTTGTGAAATTATTTATACAATTTTTTGTGACAAATTGTTTTATTAACTATGTGGAGCAAATATTTTAGATCCTCGTTTATTTATACAGAATGTAAGGAGTTCAATAAAATAGAAATATATATAATTGCACTTATATACAAACTGCAGACTGTAGGGTTTTATTAATTTTGTATCAAAGTTGCCAAAACGTGAATGAAGGTTGAATATGTGAAAAAAAATTGTCCAGTAGGGTCGCCGCCATCCCTCTCAAATCTAGCAGTGTACGCTGTGTCGAAACAATTGAAACTTAGTTGATACGAACATGGTAAAACATACTTTTATTTTATATTTGTACTGCTTAAAACCGATGAGTAACCATAAACAGTTCAAACCGAATCACTGCAGTAAATCGCCTACGGTGCGTGGACATGTGTGATGTATTAATAACAATAACAATTTGAATTTGGCTATGGTTGAAATATTTGTACATAATTTTACTTAAACATTTTCCGCTTATTACTTTTCATGTACATGTTGTTTGTTAATATGCCCATGGTCTCATGCAATAGTTTAAAACATGTTAAATAATTTTTTAAGGAAATATAGGTGTTGATAGAAAAAAATAATAAAAAATAAACGTATTCGTATGATCAGAGATATGCATACAATTTATAATATATATTAGATATTAAATCTTATTATAAGTATAGTCGTATAGACATATCACGAATAGGTTATTATATTTATATAGCATTATTTATACGCACATAATAAATATTGTATATTGTATATTGTATAAAAACACTGTGTATCTGAAGGATTTGATAATTTTTAGGTCACGTTAAATAGTAATACTAATTCGTAAAACACTGCAATTTTTTGGATACGATTTACGACGATTGCCACAGTATTTTTCACTCTCCATTATGTGTATTTAAATATTGAATCATATAATAATCACTATACATTTTAATAACTTATTATTAAAAAATTACAAATTTAATTAAATTAAATGTTTTAGTAATTCGCAGGTTATAATTTGAGTAAAACTGGGAATATTGAATTATAATATATTGATAGATTAAAATAAATTATGAGAATAATTTAAAATAATTTTGGTATTGGAATGGAAAATTAATTTAAATGCAATAAGAGCATAGATTTTAAACAAATTTTTTATCATACAATTTAAAAAAAATATATTTAGAAACTTTGTCTAGCGGATAATTGTAATGCAGGCGTTTTATTCAAAAAAATATAATCGTCACTATATAATGTATTAAGCGTCAGTTATTCTTTTAAAGATTACTCATGTGTAACTACCCAAGCAGGAAACGGGAACCTTCGACGTTAATACATATTAATTCCTAACCTCCCACTCGTTCCGATGCGAAAGGGCAGAGTAATAATGCTAGCATGATGACATCGTATAATGCTACACACTCGCAAATACTATATAAGTGAAAGCATTCACTGTTCAAAATTGGTTTTCATGCATATTTCATTTAAAATATAATGGATGTTTTTTGTGATATTTCTCTAAAAATATCAAATAGATAAATTGGAAAGTTGGTCTTTACCGTCATACATACATATATGTTAGTAAAATTATTATTATGATTGTCTGTAGTCATGTAGATTTATTATATGTAGATGTATATAGAATATATATAGTATTTAGGAACTCTATATACATACTACTGGCATTTACTTTGATGAGTAACAAATGCACAATAGTCTTAGTAAAGAGTTACGCGTTCATCCGAAAAAAAACTAAATAAATTTTAAATTGTCTTATTTGAAATTTTGTAAATGTCATGCAACTAAATTTAAATAAGAGGTGCTTGCGTACATTATTATTTATTTTGGTCGCATGCTAACCAAATTTATTAGCCGAATGTCTGAATGTGCATTGTAGTTCATTGTATTTACATAATAAAATCAACTGCTTGCAAGGTCAAAACAAATATGTACCTATACAAGTACCTACTTTCATATGATATACCTATACAATATACATACATACTCATCATATCATTATATATTTTACATTTATATATACATTGCGCAATAATAACATCAATAATATAACACAAACGCATCTATACATATTTCAAAGTTTATTTTAAAAAAACTCAAGCATACATTATTTACTTATTCTATAATTAATCAAAACTAATGATAACTAATTAATATCTACAGTCACTATATAATTTTGTTGGTAACATTAATTTTCTTAAATCAATAATTTGTTTATCTATATATCTAACATTGCAGTAGAAACTTCATTAGGTTGCTTCAGTTAGATTTCTTAAAAATAATCTGTCGATTAACATTTTATTTTTGTTTTTATTATGATTACAATTTTATAATTTATATGATTGGTACCTACTTTTATGAAAAAATGGTAAACACTTAATTTAATTATCGCTGCGCCGTGTTATGGAAACTAAGTATATAGGTAACTAATTAAATTATTATAATTTAAAGTATAGGAAGATAATAATACGCATATTTTATAAACTAATATGCATCATTGTACAAAGCTTATCCCCATACATTTTAAGGAAAAAATTAAATAATAATTTTGGAATTTATGATTTATTTTTATACTAATGGCTTTTATATACATTAATCTATTGTATAAAATAATACAGATTTACATGGTGTTTAGATTATTATACACTATATGAATTGACGATCCTACTAAATAGTAAAAATAATGCCACAATTAATGTTGAGTGGATGATTACTCGAATAAAAATTAAAAAAAAAAAATTTAAGAGAATTCGTATAGGTAAGATAAAAATAGTAAGTATTATTAAACTTAAGATGAGCTCTAAACAAAAAAAAAATTCTTAAATTTGACTACGGTCATAAATTAAAATAAATTAGCGAAATATGGTGCATTAATATTGAATTCGGTTTCAAATTTAAAACATAAAGTGTATGTTGTCCTTGAAAAACGTGAAAATTTAAAAGGATAATAATAAAAATATCATGATATATATATTTAATTTTTTACAATTTAGTAATCAATGTCTGTAAAAAACAATATTATTTTCAAAACCGTTGATATTTTCCGAGGTGATTAACGTTTATTTTTAAAGGAATCACTATAGCCACTATGCGTATGTGATTAAGCACGACGAGGATAAGATTGAGATGTATAGCAGATTATTTTCGGAGAAATTAAGTTAACAAATTAAAAATATTTATACGTACGATATTAGTAATAACAACGGACCAAGTCGGAAACGATCAACGCACGCCGCGCGTACTATGACATATAGTTAATAAAAATTTCTAGCGGCTATTTCTCAAAAATCCGATTTAAAACTGTCATCGGCCCCCATATAAAGTCTGAAGTCAAACCACATTCAACATAATTTTGCGTTATATATTTATATATTGTATCGTATAATGTAATAATATATACTTTGCAGTCTTGACATAATTATAATATTTATACACGCATGCGCATAATATATTTAATATAGTTCACACATTCCAGAGGGCACGAATGGTGTGACGTAGTAGTGCGTCCGTTTTGAACGTACGACTTGTGGGCGATCATCGCGTCCGGACTCCGTTGTTGTTGCTGTTGTCGTCGTCGCCGTCGACGTTGCCGCCACCACCGCGTTCGTCGGCCGTGGCGTTGTTGTTGTGGTTATTGTGGTTGTGATTGAACTCGTCGCTCATGTTTAGGAACTTGGCCAGCGTGACCGTCGGCGGCTGGCACGCCGTGGCGTTGTTGGCGTCGCCGGGCACCGGCACGGCCGTGAACCCGGGCCGGCACTCGCACTTGCCCATCTTCCAGCCCCTGCCCTTCCTGGTGCCCTTGCCCCGGTCCGGCACCACCCATTCGCCGGGCTCGCACGGCCCCTGCAGGTACAGCTGCTTGCACGACAGGTCGGTCCAGGCGACGGTGCCGCGCCGGTGGCCGCACGGGTCCTGCGCTTGCAGCGCGTCCGACCGCCTCGGGCTCGCGCCGGCGCCGCGGACGTCCTGCTGCTGGTGCGGCAGTTTCCTGGTGGTGGCCGGCGACTTGCACGCTAGCGCCGACGACGACGAGTAAAACGTGCCGGCGGCCGCGTCCGCGTTGGCGCAACCGCACATGCCCAGGTACGACACGCCTTCGATGGACGTCTTGACCGTGTCCTGGAACAGGACGATCTGGCGGCCGGCACGGGCCTCGTGCCACCCGGTGACAGCCTTGCCGCCCGGGAAGTACAGCTTGCCCGCGGTGCACGGTATGTCCACGCACCCGACCGCCATGCCGGTGGCCGTCGTGTTCACGCTGTACATGTTACCGGCGGCGCACGGCCCGCGCGTATACGGCCTGTAGCACGCGCCGTCGCCGAACCACTTGATGTGGCCCTCTTTGCACGTGCACTCGGCCTTGGAACCGCCGGCGGGCACCAGAAACTGGTGACCCGGGGAACAGGGTCCAATACCGCCCAGTTGGTAGCACTTGCCCGTGCCGTTGTGGAAGTGCGGCAGCGACGGGTCACATCCGCACTGGCCGCCCGGAAGGAATATGCCACCGCGTTCCTGACACGGCCCCATCGTGTAGTGTTCGTGACACGTGCCTATAAAAACACCGATATATTTCGTGGTACAAGTCACACGTGAAATCAAATACTGTGTTGGAGTAGAAATCATTTGGAACGTGTACCATTTACAATTATATAAATAAAATGTCTGTGTCAAATAGTGAGATAGGGCTGAAATCACTTAAGACTCTAAAACATTTCAAACGTTCGTTCACATTTCCTCCTGAACCTACAATAGTTTACTGATGGAAACTGCTTAAAGATTTTCTTACAGCTACTAAAGTGATCCTATTAATATTTTGTCAAAAGATTTACATTATATTAACTTTTTATTAGTTTTAATAGTTTAATATTCGAAAAATATTGAACGATTACAACTTTATAGATATACACACAGATTATCAAGTAAAATAAGTCTCATCGTTGGGTGGCTTCTTTCTGTTAACTAGTTCATGCTAACCAGTAACCATATATCCGTTCATATGGTTATTTAAAAAAAGAAAAATCATTATAAATTATAAATTATGTATTAAAGAATAATACATAAAGAATTAAACGGAATATTTTCGTTTTTTAAATAATATTTTAAAAATCATTTTAATCTGAAGCCTTCCTTCTCAACTTAGAAAATAAGCTAAAAATGTAAACATAAATTCAAAATAGAAATAGGACATAGGGAATACATTAAATAATTTACCACTTATTAGTCTAAAAAATCTAAAACCAAAATAAATATTTCTATCAGATTTAATACTTAATTCTGAAGCAAGTATGCAATGCAGTTTATTTTATTAACCAGCTTTTTTTCTTCGTCAAATTGTATTCGTTTTAATATTATAGGTACCTAATTACATCTTACATACACATAGGAAAAAATTCAATTTATTTATATTTATCAAATTTTATCAATTTTAAAATAAAGATGTAATCTATAAACTATAATTATTTGTTAATCGTGAAGTTTTTACCCAGCATAATTTTTAATTATATATTTACTTGAAATCTGATTTTTTTAAATTTTAATTAATACTTATAGAGACCGTATTTAAACATATAATAGGATTTGTATAGGTAGTAATTTTTAAGAATATGGTGACACAATCGAGAATTTTTTCAAAAACTTTTTCCATTTTTGCAAATATTTTAATGTTTGATTTTTTTTAAAAAGATGCACAGCTGGTTTTGATGTTTAATCTCGGGTTTAAAATATTTAAATAAAATCATTTAACCATAATAAACATTTATGACGAGAGAAAACAGGAAATTATTGAATAAAATACTGTACCTATCTATGTATGACGAGTTTAAAGACAATCTTAAGCACTGTAATATAATAATATAAATACAACCATATAATAATAAAATAATTCTCTTCTGCCGTATTATAATTACATGAAAACATTTTTCTTCTGTTAACTGTTGAAATGTAGGTAATATTAGTTAGTTTCAATTGTAAAAGAAGAAAACTCGTAACATTACTACAGCCTACAGGTGTATTATAAATTACTATTTATGTCCGGATATTGTAATATAATGCTTCTTTCTTTGATGTCTTTCCTGTTCTCATTATGGGTTTTAATTTTTAAATATTGTAATAGTGTGTGAAAAAATTTAAATTTTTATTGTTAAAATATTTAAAAACTTTAATTTTTGAACCTATTTCATTAGTTTCGGAGGGAGGAAATGTACGTCAAGACTAAACGTTTATTAATAGAAAATTTAAAACAAAACTTGTCGAAAACTGAATATTTTGGTACAATATTATTACCAACCAATAGTTTTGATTTAAAATTTAGCAAAATAGTGTATTTTTTGTTATTTATTTTTATTTTTTACTGCAAGTATATATGATATACTGTATTAGCACTGACCTGCGGGTGCCCAAAAGTAAGTTGCCAATTCTGGAACGTTTTCACATCGGCAGTCACCAATTAAGTTGTTCATGGCATTAGGCACCAATAGCTGTCCTTCGGTGCATGGTCCTCTGGAATGCTTGCGGTAGCATCGCTTATCTTTGGGCCAAAACAGTTCGTCTTTTTCCGCGCACGGTAATGGATCTTCACATTTTCCCCACCTTTCCCGGTCATCTCTGCAGAATACACATAATAAAAAATTCTAATAAAATTTAATGAATAAATCTAATAGAATATTATATTTGAGTGAGATGAGTACACCAAGGATGTGCTAAAGAATATATGTTATATTATATTTTATTTCATGTAACCAATTATTAACAATTTATTATAAAATATTTATTTAGTTTTTTTGTATAATATATTATTTATCGATTTACTTTGATTAAACCTCGATCATATTAATCTTAAAACTAGGTGTATAGGCTGCATTTTAGTTGATCGAGATTACTTTTAAAATTAGGTTTAAGTTAGGAAAATTATTAAGATCTTAAGAATTTTATTAAAACTTTTCAACTTAAACTATGAATAACACAGACTGCTTCGTATCAGATACTTCAATCCCTCAATCAGTAAATAATTTAGTATTAACTATTATAATAACTAACTTTATATGAAATAATCAAGCTTCGGGAGTAACTGCGTAACGAAGGGTCTTATTAAATAACTGTAATTTTTTCGTTATTTAAAATTATTTACATATTTTGATTATTATTTATTTAAATAACCTAAAAAATTACTACGATATAGGTATAATATCGATAATGTGAAATAGTACAATAGGTACCTACTGCAAAATCGACTTTGAGAACATTGTTATTATAATTATATTATACCATTAAAGTTAAATTGCATAGAATTAATTATAGATGATTACCTGTCCAGGTCAGGAGCAAAGTATTGGCCGTCGTCGCAGGGACCACCGAGTCGGAACAGCTGATGGCAACGGGAATCGCGATTGCTACGGACGCTGCCGGGCGGACACGCACATTCCGCGGAACCCTTGCGATCCGGACGCGGCACTAGTTCCATCGTTTCCGGACACGGATACCCACGTTGGAATATCCGGTAACATTTTTTATCGTCCGGCCAGTAGAGCAGCTGCCATCCACCCGATGGTTCTGCGGCGCACGGATTCTGAGACGGATCCGCCCAAGGTGGTGGCAACACCGCGCCCATGGCGGCAGCGACTAAGCATGCCAAGCAGTGTAGTAATATCATCACCTATATTAACAATTGTAAGATTTATAATGTTTACGTGTATTAGGTAGGTTATATAAACATAGACGGACATCCTGTATTTTGGGGAGGCTTAAGTATTTGGTAGAAAACAGGTCTGTGGAGGCCTTGCCCTCATACCTCTGTTTGTTTTATCATCATAATATCTTACTTTTTTATAGACATTTTTATTGTGTTAGTAAAATCGGCCAAACTGAACAGAATAAATAAAATATTTTATGGAATACTATAAACTTCCATTTTTTAAGCTACCGTCTAATTAAAATCATGGTGTAGTTCGTATTAAAATTAATTATACATTGTATTTTTTTAAATGTAGGCGCTCTGGGATTATTTAGATGATAGAACTGAACTAAATATCTAGGTCTAGTCTAATTTAATGTTTGAACCATTTATTAAATATGATCTAAATGAAAAATTCTTTTCATCAAAGTTTCACTTTATAGTTTTCTGTTTATATTTTAAGTTTCATAAATATTGACTCGAAGCATATTTTAACATGCGTTTAACGTTTATATTTTTTAAGACATTTGTTGACAGTGTAAAAATTGTAAGCCTCTGGAGTCCAGATCATTATTTTTAGAATTTAACAGTCGAGTTTAATTGTTCAACAATCACTAAAAAAGTAGTATACTTTTAAAAGCTTTTTACAGTATTAAAAAAAAAAAAAAACATCTTAAGAATATCGAAAAATTATCTTTTTGAAATACCAAGCTCAGTTAATTTTTAATCTAAAGAGAACTGAGAAGTATAGATAATTTTTTTTGGTTCAGTATATCTACTCAAAAACATTTATGCAGTAAAAATAAAATGGAAGAAATAAAAATTATTGTAAAATCAATAAAACTCTTCATTCAGAACCCATAATAAAATTTAATTTAAACATAAATTTCTAAAATATTTTAAAAATCAAGTTGTATTTAAAAAATATTACCAATCTCCTTATTAATTATCATTATGTTTAGTATAGGTTAGAATTGAGGGTAACGCGTTCAGAACGAAGTTCTCTTATTATTGAAAAAATATTTCTAAGTACTCCTTTTAATTATTATATTCTAAACAATTAGATATTTAAATATTCAGGTAAATACATGTAAGTAAATTACAGTGGAACTGCAAAAATTGTAACGAAATACTAAATCTAACTTGTTGAAATATTGATTATAAGTTTTTTCAATAATAAATAAAACTTTATATCCGTTCGCTTATATATATATATATGTTATAGTTGGCACTCCATGAAATTTGGAGGTGCTGTATCAAATGAGATACATATCGACCACTGGATAGTTATCACTACCAGTCATCGAAAGATATTTAATAGCGAAAAGATTAAACGGGGTAGGTAAGTAGATATTATGTACACAAATTGTTTTCAAATCCACAGTTATACCATAATACCATATATTTCAATAGCGATTATCTCAACGATTATCTCAATATTCAAAACTGTGATTCTAATATTTTAAATCAAGAATAAAGGTTATTGTACCTCGAAAGTCGAAACTATATTTATCTTAAAATTAAACCAATGAATACGGTCATCAAAATGTTACCGTCAAGATAAATAATTTATTGTTCATGTCCAAAAAAAAAAAAAACTTGTCGTAAATGAAGTATACGTACAAAGCTGTTAAACAATACCTATAATCCAAATGTTACGTTGCAAAATTGATTAGGATTACATTAAAATCTTCAATCATTCTACATCAATCTTCGCCGATTTTGTAACGCATAATTTGGTTAACCCTGTATACTATTAATGTAACAGCGACAAAATAATACATATCTGTGTAATATGTATGGATGTATAATGTATATTGTATAGTGTATAGTAACTTCACTATATATTAGGTATGTAGGTACTAATAAAATATAGTGTATGATCTATCAACAACAGTAAATCCGATAATAAACATAAAATAATTTTTAGAATAGTTACCAACATTAATGAAAAGTGGAAGTATTTAAATAGTATAATTATACATTTCTTTTCTCAGAATTATTGTACTTCATATATTGTTATTATTTTCATATTATTTAATTCATATTAAGATTGCATAGAATATTTTTAAGCGATAATTTATCATAAGGTCGGTTTATTGCTATCTACGGAATTTGTATACAAAATAAGTGTACATCACAAATAAAAAAATATTTCCGATGACTAATTATGTTTAAATATCAATACGAACAATAGTTAATAATGTTCTTTAACAATAATTTCAACAAAAGTTCGCCTAGTAAAATATTCTATAGGTAGTTGTATTTCATGGTCATGTAGTACTTACTATATATACTATATTTGTTTATATATACATATTATTATCAATGACCCTGAGAAATCGTATCGGAACCTTCAAACGGTTAAAACACAATTCAAGCTCCTAAACATTTATAAGTCTATTCGTTTAGCCAATACTCAATACTGAATAGATTTTTACACGCATCAACAGAAATATTAAAATATTTTTATACCTGCAGTAGAATACGGTTTAGCGTATATTATGCTATAAACTCCTTATCGCCAAACAACAAATAAAAATAAAATTGGTATATATTATTCTATGATACGTTAATACTTAAGTATTTTGACACACTCGCGTAAAAATGTTAAATACATAAAATATAAAATATATAAATACATTGAAATGGAAACTAGGTTTTCACTTTCGTTCCGTTCGATAGGCAATGACAACGATGACTGTTATGGTTAGTCTGTCAATTCTGTATCGGGTTATATTTCCCTCCCGCATTCTACGTATATACATATGAACCACCAGCCACACTCTTATTCCATTCATGATTTCGACATTGTATTTTAATTTTTTATCCATTTTCTCTAGTTTAGACGGTTAGACTACAACATTATAAAGCGATATGGTCATTTTTCTTCGCCGACACGCAAGAACAGTTGTTTTGTATACAAATTTAATTATCGATATAGGTATACACATGAAGTGTGTGTGTATACCTACATAAAAAAATATATGATCGTCTTGTATAAAGTACCTAAAAACACAATGAGGAAGACTAAATAATATCGTAAGTCATAACCTTGTTTCATCAAAATTTTATGAATAATGATAGGATACATCCAAATCCAGTGGATATAAAGACAAAAGACATTGAACATAGTAAAGTATTATTTAGGTATCAACGTAAAAGACAATAGAAAATAAAACAAAAAGTAATTTTATTCAAATTTCTCCCACGCACGTAGTGAAAATTAAAAATAAGTCTTAACTGTTATGTAGTGTACCACACATATAAATATATAGGTAATAAAAATAAACTCAACACGTCGCAACTAGGTATATACTTCAATATTTTTTATTAGTACCTAAAAAATATAATATTATGAACTATGACATGATATTATGTGTTTTAATTTCAATACATTTATTTCATCATAAGTTATTAGTCAGTATAGGTGCATCGTGTATGTATAATGTTATACAAGTAACACAGCACACCTACTCGTCGAAACAAAATTAAATACTTTCACGTTAGGATTAATAATATTATGTATTTCTCATCAAGTCAAATTGGGTTTTAATCACTCACATTATATAGCAATACAGTAGATCCACGAAAATATCCATTTATAGAATAACATTCCACCACAAGACAACGGCCCTTAATGATAAAAGCCACCTTACACACGAGCTAACTATTAAGTATACGTGCCTCACATATTTTTTACTCCGTAATTTTTATATATACAAGTATGCATGCCAACACGTAAAATCAAAGTATAAACAACGCACAGATATACGTATATTATTTATTATAATATATGCTTATGTATACGATTTTGTTGCTGTAGTAAGTTATTAAAAATGCTAAAATGTAAAAAAAATGTTGAAATGATTATTATTGATATCATCTATCCGACATCCGTCTACACCTACCATCATGTTAGAATATTCTATACGAAGACCGTGCCGTATATATATTTAAATATATTCTATTATTAGATTACAACTCTTCGCGGCATACTAAAAACCGTTTGAACTCTTAGTGTAGGTATTGTGATTGTGAACATGATATTATTACTAAAATATGGTATAACAAGTATCGATTCATTTTCAATTATGTCATTGTCAGTGCTTTCTTTTTCCACAACTATTTTTAGAAAAAATGCGTTTACATACAGCATATTTCGTCGTAATTCTAATTTACATATTTTAACCAGAATTCGTACATAATATGTATCGTTCAGATTATTGAATATATTCAGTAGTGTATAATATTAAGTATTCACAAAATATGTTTAATGCGTTATTATCTACTTAATAATTAGTATATAATTTACTACAATTTTGTTTTGTTGACTACTTTACTGTAACATATGCGAAGTGCGCAATATTATATATATGTGTAATGATTCGCATGAGGACAAATAATCAGGTTTTACTTTCGAAAACACACAAACCAGTTGACTTTTTTTTTAAAGAATATTCGTAATTTATAAATATAATTGGTAATATTACAGCGAAAAAAATTCATATTCTTAAAAATATTTAAGAACAATTAAAAATTCAAAGTTCATATCGACAACATGTGTGATTAAAATAATTAAATATAATTACAATGTTTATAACTTGGTGGCCCAAAAATTCATTATACATTCTACATAATCTTAAGAAAGTTACTAAAATTATTTATTTTATTTTTATTTTTATTTATTAAGACCTAATTTTAAAATGAAGTATATATGTATCTACAATGTTTTTTTTTTATAATTAAAAATTGTAAAAAGGTCAATCATAAACTTAGCCATGATATTCTAAACAGTAAAATTTAATGCGTATAAATTGAATTCAAATTTTAGATTCTGAACGGTGTTAAGTATGAACTTATATTGGAATTAAAATTATGTGGTTTTTCCGTGTTTGTAATCGTGTTCTGGATCAAATTTGATTCAAACTTAGGATCAAAAGTAGGAAGTACCTAGTAATTTTCTTAAGAGTTGTAAAAAC